GATTAACGCAGGTTCGCAGACTTACCATAAGTAATGTTGAAACTGAAGCGGTAGTTTTGTAAAGTGAGGTACCTTGTCTTCATACTGTGCAGGTTGCTCGACCTCTATTAGCATGTTTTTTGACTGCATAATGTTTTATAATTTATAATCCTTAACTCACAGTAAAAACGTTCACCGTTATTGAGTATTTATTCATTGTAGAGTACTTCCTGTGAAGGTTTTTGCACTTAAGATTACACAACTAAATAAAATAAGTATAGGTGAATAAAGGTGGACTTTGAGGAAATACGGGAGACATTGGCTAAGAGTATTGGATGTTAGTTCAGGTAGCATTATGGCCAAAAGTTGCTTCTTTTACCTACGCTGGGAAAATAATGAGAGTGTTTACTCAAATGTCTCCTATTTATTTATTAATTTATTTGAACACATGAATATTGGTACAAGAAAGCGCCAATATATATGGGCCACACAAAACAACGAAAATTCGAAGAGAAGTAGAAAAAAAACTAAGGAGCGCACAAGAAAAAGAGAACAATAACGAAGAGATTGGTGTAAGGTAGTGTGGTAGTAACGAGGGAACGAAAAGGTACAATCAGAAGAAATCTTTCAGGTAAGGGAGACACAACTACTTTTTATGAAGAAAGTAAAAGAAGGTTACAGCAGGATCGCCATTGGCTTCTATTCTGAGCCATATCTGATAACGTCTCTAGCCACTGTGTAGCACCATCTCTCAGACCCCAACCAGGGAGTCGTGAAGGACCGACAGAAGCCAGTCCTTTGCAGCTTTCTTTGATACAACGACACCATGTCATGCACTGACCACCTCTCCGCTTCTTCCAACCAGTCCCAGAGTCGGCAAATAATTCACGACGTGGAATTCCCTGGGACGACATTCGGAGAACATGTCCAAGCCACCGAAGTCGCTGTTTCAAGATGGTGACACCAATTGAATTATCATCATCTCTGTGCCCGAACACACGATGCCGAACCTCTGCATTACTGACATGGTGTTGCCACTGGATGTCAGCAATCCTTCGGAGACGGCGATGATCGAACACAGAGAGTCGTCTAACGTCCTCAACTCGGAGAGACCAGGTTTCACAAGCATAGAGCAAAACTGCTCCCACAGTCGTGTTGTAGATCCGACCTTTTACAGCCAGACTAACATCACGAAGGCGCCAAAGGTGGCCCAGATTGGCATAAGCCGCTCTGGCTTTCACTATTCGTGCATTGATCTCATCACTCACACTCCCACCAGCACTTATGCAGCTACCCAGATACAGGAACTTCTCAACTACTTCTATCTGCTCACCATCCAGGGTGAGTACAGGATTGGAATCCTGCCAGTCTTGTAGAAGTACTTTGCACTTCGAAGGTGCAAAGCACATACCATACCTACGGACACTGATTGCCAACTGATTAAGTGCGGATTGCATGCCTTGGGCATTATCGCACAGTAAGACAATATCGTCCGCATACTCAAGGTCGAGAAGTCTTTCTCCAGGCAACAGATCCACACCACCATTACTAACATTCATCACAGCTGTTCCCAGAATGTCATCGATGGCAAAGTTGAAGAGGAATGGTGAGATTGGGCAACCCTGCCTAACCACATTGCTCGAATGGAACAATGGAGAGAGGTGGTTGTATGCCCTCACTCTGCCTGAGGTGTTTTTATATAGGGCCCTATGTCTCCTATGGGGCGAGAATTTTATAAAACCAAACATTATTGATTGTCAAACTATCCACTTTCCCCTTAAACGTATGCCAACTTCAAAAATTCCTCGCACGTACGATATTTATTTCACTTGTCACCTTAATAGCCCGGAAATTCGCTCTTGCTTCCCTAGGAGACTGGACATTAGTGGCGATGATAATTAACGCAGAATATAAAATTATTTTGGTCGTTAGTATTTAACAGAATTAAAATAGACATGAACATTCCAATGAGGGCTACACGTCTTCTTGTTGTCATCGTTTGACATATGCTAAAGAAATAAAATATATAAGTGTATGAACGGTCTAAATACTGTATATGAAAGTGGTAAATAATTCGTGCATTGCAAAAATGATTTACGATAAATGATGGATAATAAGCTCAGCATTTTGTCAAGCTGCCTTATCAATGCAGTCTTCATCATCATTGATTATATTCTGAAATGTAATAAAACATGTACAGTTATGTTGAGTTTCAATTCAATTTACTTATTAATCATATATTATAAAATTGGGTCAAGCAGTAATGTTGCACACAATACCCTGTCGTGCCTGGGAAATAAAATGTTTATGAGTTGGAATTATCACTTACATTATCTTTTGTTCTTTGCTAAAGCTTGTTTAGTTTTTCACTCATATCATTTTTAAAATCGTGTGTTGTACTGTCTATAAGTTTTCCAACTCCTTTTCCGCTCATCAGTAAGGATGTAAATTTTAATATTAGTGGACCTACATTACAGTAGTTAGAACAGGACATGCTTACTAATGCTTCCATGTAATCGAAGTTTACTGAGGCTCGTGTTATTCACTGTTCCTAATAAGGTGAAGTTAATAGACAAATATGGGGTAAGGATGTATTCCGGAATATATATAAGTGATGTATTTGGGTTGTCATCCACTGGGTTACTCACCTTGCTCATCTGAATTTTGAATCAATCGTCTAATGAACAGGCGATCGTACATGTTTCCAGAGTCACCGACCCTTCCTCAGTTGATAAAGGGAAACGAAACCCCGACAGTTTGGAAGTACTATTCGCCGTTGGCTGAAACGCTATGTTGTTTACAACCTTCATTAGTTGTTTAACATCCGCAAACACGTCTGATATTGCTGCCAAAAAGGCGTTGCAGGCTAGCACATAATTTTGACAGGCTATTAAAGTTGATATAATTGCCCTCATGACTTATTCTATCCTTTGATTGTATGTTGGTGTTGATGTAGCAGTTAATTGGTGTACTTTTATCCCAGTTGGATTTGTTTATATATATTTGTAATAAAAGTAGGCTTACTTAGCTACCGGTGGCAGAGACGTTTCAGTTAACTGAAACATAGGATGCTTTATGTTTCTGATTCCTGCCTGCATTTTAGCTACATTCCAATCAACGCAGTGGTATAAATAACCGTATTTTCGTTCCAGTGGCTTTCTACCAATAATGTATAGGCTTAATGTAATAACATTTTAGACTTCACAATGCTCAACGGCACTGTGTTTTCATCGATGCTTCCTGTTGTGTTTGCACCAATGATAGCGCTCACGGAAGACACGAAATCTTTAGCAGCATCGAAATCGTCTACCGTAACTTTAGTAATTTTTGTTGCGACTTGCCAGTATAACGCAACATTTTGTGTTATATGACAAACCAGTCTTCTGTTACATTGACCTCTTCTAGTATGTCAACGTTTCCGATGTTTTTCCATATACATGGAGTGACTGTAATTCAAGATCCATCTGGCAACTAAAAGAAGTTGCTTCTTTAGCCTGGCCTCAATGATAGAGAATTTCTTAGCTTGATGCTGAGAAAAAACTAAGTGAGAATAGTTGATTCAAATTTAAAAGCATCATTGTATTATCTTAAACATAAGGTGTCATTACACAAGTGTTAAAGTTAACGGGATTACCACTTCGTATTTAATCTTCCTTACAGACATGCACATGCAAGTAATGTGCTCATGACTAACTACTGAGCACATAAAAATACCTAGGATAACTAAGTTCATACCTTATGCTGACCCTTCATGCTTCTCCTTAGAACCCATCACATTTAGTGATGCAGGTGAATGTAAATGTCCGAACTATTCAGGCGCAAAGTGGACAATTTGGCAATCACTAACGTTTGGATTTGTAAGATTTTCGCCCCATAGGAGACATTTGGGTAAACAATATCATTATTTCCCCAGCGTAGGCGAAAGAAGCAACTTTTGGCCGTAATGCCACATTATTATTATTACACTACCTTACACTAATGTGGTCGACATTGTTCTTTTTTCTCTTACGCTCCTTACCTTTTTTCTCTTCCCATTCTCATTTTGTGGCGCATATATACTTTGTGCCCCCTTGTACCGATACTTATGTGTTCAAATAAAATAAATAAATGCCACCTGAATTAATATCCAATTTCCTTAGCTAATGTCGCTCGTATCTCCTCAAAGTTCGCCTTTGTTTCCCCATTCTCGTTTTATTGGGTAGTTCTTAGACGGTCGTTTCTTAGTAATCTCGTCAATCTTCGAGGAAATCTGAATACAAATATTATGAAAACTGAGGAATTGTTTGTAAAACTACTTTTAATCTGATAAATGACCGAATCATATTACCTGTTGAATTGTTGGATTTCTATCAAGAAAATGGTTTACGTTAAGATAATCGCAGATGAAATGTAGATCTTAAAGATTTCATATGCTACGGAATAAATAAATAAACATTTAATTTTTTCCTATATTAACTACAGATTCTTGATTTTGATGGTCTCTGTACTCGTCGACTAACGGGGGTTGTTTTTAGCGTCCTTTTAGTTAAGTTATATAGGAAGGTTTGATTGTTGGAAGGTAATTCAACTTTCTGATATATTTTTTGCACAGGCCCTTTAGGTTATTAGTTTCTGGGTATATTGTCACGTAACTAGCGACTTCATGTTTAAATGGGCAATAACTAAGTGACGCTTAGCTCTATGACTTCCGAATAAGTTCTCTTTTTCAGTATGTAAACTCACGAGATTTCGATTTCACTGTACCATCAATCATGTATATCCCCTAAAAGTTTAACTCAACATAATGTCACAGGAATTCCAAATACATTCAAAACCTCAAGTATATGATTAGCTGTGCTTATAGTTGATTATTTTGAGGTAGGCCATTATGAATGAACCTTGTTAAACTGTAAGATATTAACTAGAAACATTGAATTAGATCTATATCTTACACTGGCAATCGTTTACATTGTTTTGTAAGCTATAAAACTCTTAGGATATAGACAAACAAATATGTATTTCATTTTCCACTTTATACAGAAATGCCATCAACTCAAAATACAGTCGCTGAACGAGATCCGCGCTACTGTCGCCAGTGGAAGTGTCAAGTTTCTGTGGGTGAATTATATCGATGGATTTTAGCGAAACTTTCTGATAAAGATATCAAGCGGGCCCTGCACAAATACCGAGACCTAATGCCTAGACAGTCGGATTGGAACAGAAAACTGACACAAGCTACGAGTATGCCAGAGCTTGGTTTTCGATATCTGTATCGATGTGGACAGATAGACGAAAGTAACCATCGAACTATGCAGAAAATGCTAAAATATATCGATCGTCAAGATGTGCTGCCATATTTTGATACAATTTTGTATAATACCAACCATTCTAATTGTTCTTTGGAGGAGCTACAAAAAGGTAATGTTACCTTCGTCTTACCTAATCCCAATTTTAGTTCTGTTGGATAAAGTTAACGTGTTTTTAGAATATTCTTCTACACTGTCTGAAGAAGAAGTACATCCAGAGCCTCCATATGAAATAATACGACGCCAGCCAGTTGAGGGTTCACGAGTCACAAGGTACGTATCTCTCATCAGTTTGCTTCAATAAGGTCACTATGTGGTTCAAAAACACGTGGTCCTACTCGTACTATTTCCGTAACCTGTTTAAGTGTATTTATTAGCTTTCAACAAACAAAATCGTTTTTTAATCGAGCTAATAAATTTTTTCATCAGTGTTAATACTCTAAGCCATAAGGAAATTTGCATTACTTTATCCATGATAACTTTTGTTATTAATAACGGGCCGCTGTGACAAGGGTTAAAGTCCCTTGTACTTATTTCTTAGAAATCTCCCCACCACTAGATCGAGTGTAGTTGACAACTTAGATGGAACCAGGTTATATTCTTTATAAGTGGTATATCCAGTGATTTATTATTTCTGTCGTAATTCAATTATCTCTTATGTGATTTCTCATCCTGAGTTTTTGTGTTCTATCTTTTTACCGAATAAATTTTATTCTAAAGATTAAGCCTGAAAAGAAAATCATCTGTTGGTGGTACTGGTAATATTGCATCTGTGAAGCGAGGGCGCCGGTCTACTAATTCCTCATCGGAGACTGGTCAAGTTAGTGATTTCGAAAATTCACCTCTTCGGTACTGTGGCAAAGTGCGATCAGCGATTATTTCCAATTCACTAAATGGTCCTGTTGTGCATACTATGCTTTCCGCGTCACTTATTAGCATGCTGGCATCTTTACATACTACATTATCTCAAACATTCGATAATCCCGGTGTATCGTCTATAACCCCTAATGCATCGAATAGTAATACAACTGGAAGTTGTATTAGTAGTTCAAATCCTTCTGTTCCTAAGAATCCTTTAATCTCTCATTTACTGGCTATTATCCCACATTTAATTGCTGTTTCACGTGCTGCAAATCAGTTATCTAATCCAAGCCTACTATCTAATCCAGCACTACCCTCTCGAATATCGAATCTTCCAAATAATGTAAATAATAGCAATTCAGGGATTTTTGGTTCAAGATTTGCTGGTATTCATAACAGACCGGTAATCAATGCAGATAGACGGCTGCCTCAACAGGTTCAAGATCATGTAGATCCTGCTGCTCCGGTTGTTTTAGATAATTTAAACCACGAGCAGAACGTTCAAGATCCAATCCACCCTATCATACATGGTATTCGTGCACCACTCATCAACCCTCCTAACGTGGAAGCAGACCGTCCAGGTGGACTGTTGTTTGCACCTCAACCTAATATTCGACTTGCAGACGGTGGATCACCTCCTGTAGTCTCTCAACATTCGACAAATCCCCCTGTTTTATTAAAGCATGTTGTTTTGTCAAGCGGAGGAATAGGTATTACTGCTTCGCCACATGATTCAGTAATCCATTATTATTGCAATATTAAACTGCATGTCAATATTGATTTTGGTCCTTCTACAGAAAGTTTAGTGAGTTTCCCGTCGCTTAACGTCATTCTCAATAATTTGTACGTTTTTTAAAGTTATTTAGATGTTATTAAATTTATTACCTCAGAAAAATTCACTCACTAAGAGATATTTTTAATTCGGACACTGATATCAGACAGTCAGTCACAACGTTGAACCTGGTACGAATGTACATCGGTTTAAGTTGCCGTACACCATCAACCCAAAGAGATCAAATTGTCAGGTCAAATCCCCGAATATTAGAGGTAGTAACAGTATCCATGGTAAAAGGAAAAAAATACTCATAGAAAATACTAGTCGAGAAGTTGTAAATTAGTGAAATGAAACCAAAAAATATTATGAGGAGTCCACAAGCTCAGGATTTAGGAAAACGCAAAGAACAAATACACTTACGTCATTACAAACGACCTTGAGCCATTTCATTTAGATTCTCTAACCATTGGTTATGATAATCACGTGAACCCAAAGCAGATGGTCTACACCTATTAACATGGTTTGGTCTAACTCTCGATGACTTGATGAGTCAGTCAGTCAGTCAGCTACAACGTAGGACCAGGCACATATATGCATCGGTCCAAGTTGCCATACCTCCTTAACACAACAAGATGGACACCGGATTCATAAAAGTAGTTAATTCAGAGGTGGTAATATATAAAAGAAAGATTGCAATAAGGATATAGTACAGAAAGAAAGAATTAGTTCACAGAAAGAAAGATATGAGGCGATTTTAATCTCATAGTTTAAGGGAAGACAGAGAGTGTATACACCGACGCCATTGTGATCGATTCTGAGCCATGTCAACAAGAGTCTCCAACCATTGGTTACGATAGTCACGCGGACCCCAACCAAGTAGTCTGCATCTAGAAGCTAGTGACTTCAAGCACTGATGCCACGTTTTGGTTTGGCAGCCCCTAACTTTCTTCCAACCATCCCGAGCACCGGTTAGCATTGCACGTCGTGGTAATCGGCGTTCGGGCATACGTAACACGTGGCCCAACCATCTCAGTCGATGAAGATTCACAACCTCATCAACTGATTTACCATCATTCCCTATTACCCTGTGTCTAACCTCACTATTACTTACCCGGTGATCCCAGCAGACGCCAGCAATATTTCTAAGGCAGCTGTGGTCAAATACTAGTAGCTTACGAGTGAACTGTCATGTTTTAATTTGGCCACACTTAGCCTTCTCCCAGCCTATTTTTGCACCAGACAACATCACCAGTCGAGGTTGGCCATGTATAACACTTCACCCAACCACCTCAGTTGGTGACGAGATGCCACATGTTTTTTGAATGATCATTTACTGTAAAATAATGAATTTTAAAGTTCACCAGTTTTTTGACAATTCATTTTTGAAGCGATGAATAATCCAAGGGGCTTTCTTACATTTAAAGTTTTCAGAAGCCACTATCTTTACCGAGGAAAGTAGGCTAAAATGTAAAGTTGAAGATTATAATTACTTTCAAACTTTTTAGTAGCTTATATTGTACTGTTATTTGCCAATAAAACAAGCGTTGGGTTTCGAAGTTACAGTTTTTGAGTTACGTTTTGTATTTCCGACGTATATCATTCCTTACTTTTCCCTTGAAAATTATAAGAAGCCTTGATGATTGGAGCCATCGATTATTGATCTGAGCCATGGTAATAGATGCAGATTACCTGGTTGGTGTTCGCTTAATAACTGCGGTCAGTAGTTGGAAACATTGGATGACATGACTCAGAATTAGTCATAGTTACGCAGATCCATTCACCATTAATCTTTAAGCCTTGAATCCCTATGTTTCCTCTTTTCATCTTGTCTTCTCGTGTCATGTTCCCTATGCTCAATCTCATCATCGCTACTGAGTCATTTTGATTTATTTGTTAGTTTCACTTCGTAGTGTTATAATATGGCACATTGGGTCAGTCCACACTTAAGGGAGGGTCTACATTGATTATGACTGACTGACATAGTGATATTGTACCAATTAGTCAGTTAGTTATAAACAACTTAGGACGTGGCATGTATGTGTAGTAAACGAGAACTCAGGTGGGAAAAACAAATTTATTATCCAATGCAATATTACAGAGTTCACGGAATGTGAAAACCATACGTTAAATACATTATTTGCACATCTTCCTTCAGCTGCTTCATGATTCTTTCAATTCTGTTATTAAAACTGCTCTCTGTATCCCTTCCTGTTGTCTTTATTTCAATCTTCTGCTGGCAGACATTCCATATTCGATTGCTGCAATATAATACTTATATCTGTCAGCATAGATAGTATGCACAACATATGTACATCGATTCAAGCTACCAAGCCATATCATTACAACAAGATAAAATTATCAAGATACATACCAAATTAATAGCGGTAGAGACAGTATTGGTGACAGGTGTGACAATGGTTTCACCAGTTTCTCCGATGGTAATGAATTTATTCATGCATTCCCCAGAAACCACTGCGGTCACAAATGTATAAATCCACCAAAAGTCGGGTTACAGTATGTAGATGACATTTTTATTATCGTTAAATGGAGTGGTTTAGAAGAATTGTTTGAAAATGTAAACAAAATTTCGGAGAGCATCAAGTTAACAAAAGGATATAGAGTCCAATGACTATAAACTAGAGTTTCTCGATTGTTTGTTTGAACGAAGATATAATAATAAGTTGAAAATAAAGCTATTCATGAAATCAACATATTCTGAGAGATAATTAGATTACGGTTCGGCTCATGCGTATTGTACAAAAGTCACAGTTGTAAAAATTTAATGAAAAGGAGTATTAATCTCACTACAGATAAGGAAGACCAACAGGTTGAATTGAATGGAGTTTTGTCTGCGCTTAGGGAATAACAATTACCCCAGAGTTCTTAAACAGGATTATTTGAAATAAAAGTAAAATTAAACTAGAATGTATGCCGAAAGACTGGTCATCCCATACCGTAGTGACACATTGGAAGAAGTCAAAAGAATTCTAAACAAACATGATATAAGAGTGTATTTTCGGGCTAGTGGCACCATAAGATCAGCACTAGTGAAAGTTATGGATAGGTTTCCAAAGGAAGAACAACAGAATGTTCTTTATGAAATCAACTGTTATGATTGCAATGCAGTTTATGTGACAGAAACGTCAAGACAATTGAACGTGAATTTGAAGAAACACGAACAATGTTTGAAAAATGTTCCCAAATCCTCGGTTGATCTGAAGAAACTTGAGAATAGGTCGGTAATAGCGTTACACGAGTTAGAAACAGGACACAAGATCAATTTTGAAGGGACTAAAATACTTCAGGAAGATTTTGGGACATATAAAGAAAAATTGACAGCAGAAGCGCTCTATATATGGGCCAATAAGAACAGTCCGAACAGAAAAGATGGTATTCAACTAACTATCACATGGAAAAGGTCCATTAACAAGTAATTGGACACTTTCTCTATCCAAACTGTTTATTTAACATGCATCGTTATTCTGACAGAAATTAATCTGGAATATTTTAGCACTACAATTATATATTTGATGATTCTCATTTTACATGCACATCAATGATTCAGAAACAATTTCACTTATTTTTACTTCATATAAAAAAAATTTACCACCGAATATCAACTATTAATAACTAAAACTTACACACATACACATACATACATACACAATCAATCATTCATTCATCCTAACATTGTGAACTTTTCATATGATTCACATACAACCGATTCATGTTACCCTACTTACAAAAGGTAACATCTTATTATGGTTGGATAAACTCAGTAAAGACTTAATTATACACTATATATATATATATATTTCTTTGACGAGTTTCATTTTGATTATTATCTTGAAGAAATCCAAGCAAGTTTACTAGACAAAATGTAATTAGATAAATTTCAATCGCTGAGATTATTATTTCAAATATTAGTGATAATAGAAAAGATTAAATAATTGTAATTGGTATTTAATTGACTTTTTATTCAAACCATACAATCACTATAAAAGCAAACCATATTTCAGGATTATTAAAGTTTAAAGGGTAGTTTTAAATCATTATAGTTCTTATCAAAAATGAGTAAAATCTTGGTCATCCAAAAGAAAAAAATAAAATCAATTATATTTTAAATCTCAATAGTTGGAATCATGAGTCAATTGAAGCTAAACCACCATGGAAAACCTGGAAGCACTGGACAGCCATTTCATCCTAGTATGAGACACCTCAGCAGTGCGCATCCGTGACATTCGAGCCCAGGGCCCTGGATCTCGCGGGGGGCGGGATCGTGGATGCGTACTGCTGAAGAGTCTCATACTAGGACAAAATGGCTGTCCAGTGCTTCCAGGTTTCCCATGGTAGTCTAGCTTCAATTGACTCATGATTTCAACTATTGAAACTACTAAAATCTCCACGAAACCCCTTCTGATATTTTAAATCACTAAATTTTTCTGTAAACAGTAAACAATATTAACTGATCGATTATCGATTGTATAAATTTCATTATTCTGCTTTCTTTCCTTTTTCTTCTTCTGCAATTAGAGAAGAATTCAAACAGTTCGTCAAGATTTTTTTGAACGTCAGATTGATTTTTTTGTACAAGCATCAAATTTATTGAAAACTCGTTCACCAAGTGAATTTATTTGTAATTTACAATTTACACGACTTAACCAACTTGAAGATTTTTGGGCTGACTATCAGTCAGGTGCATTACGATATGTAAGTTTAATCAATTGATTTGTAATTTGGAAATTAAGTTTGTTATAGTGTTGGTTGATATGTTAAGCCCATAATATCTTATTATAGCTTCTGGATAGGCCAATTTATTCATTCTTCTTGAGCCACGTTTTGACCTTGTTAATTATTCACTTATCAACATTGACTGTTTTTATATGAGCGTATATGTGTGTACGTCTTGTCCTACTCACCACATGTAATGTAGCCTATTTTTGTGTGACTATAAATTTTGATTCACACTTAATCAAATGGAGTTGGCTCACACGTCGTCTCCACTGCGCGCCATTTGGTTTCGCTCTCTTCTATTTGTTTCGTCCCTCTGATTGTCTGTCCAGACCAATGATTGTACAAAATATATGTATTAGAAATTCATTCTCGTATTTGACTTATTTTAATTCCATTATTCACCAACGCGATTTAAGTCGATAAAGACATACGAGGATAGTCATGATGTATATTTCGACAGCAATCAGATCCCAGGCCACCTAACTGTTTTCTTTTTTCTCTTTATATCATGCCTTATTTAGTATGAGTAGTTATCTCAAAGCTTATTAAAATGCCTAGTATTTCTTACTGCTTAACTTCAACTACCCAACATATGAAATAATGTAATCTGATAATTTTATTCAATGTGTTTCTTCTTTTATGTTTAAAAAAAGTATTAGCTTTCTTTATTCAGTCTGAGATATCATCCACCTATATACTTGCAGTAAATAGATCTTTCTAGTAAGCTTGATAAGGTAATAATTCAAAGATATTTTCGAACAAACACAAAAACAAATCGCGTCTTAGGAAGTAGAGACTGCACCAATAATGCGATATAAATGATTGCTTTGTGGATAAACTGATGTTTTTTTCTTAACTATTCCTACTCCGTCTAACAATGATGGATCAAGGTGGAGAATAGTTGAAGATAAGTAACACCTCAGTCTATGACAATTTACAGCGTAGTCAGCCGATTCCCCATAATTGTCTAGTCCTATACGTCGAACCTCAAGATTAATCAATCTGTGAAAAGTGCCTTGAAGGGACATTTGATCTAAAACCGGCAGTTTATCCATATCTTCTCTTTTCATAGGCTATCGATACAACTCAGTTTCCTAAATCGAAGTAGATGAATCAGGGTTTAAAACTGTGACCTACTAGTTAGAAAAAAAAGTGTAGTCCTTCAATCACTAAGTCACTGCTGCACACAGTTCTCCAAATGTTTGATTCAAAGTGTTATAACAATAGATGCTACATATTATTTTGATATTCTTTTCAAATTGATTTCACAAAATAATTCTGCTTATCATGAATGAAAATCTTTCCTATGATATTGTAATATTTCTCTGTTCCTTTGTTATCTCTCTATTTCCTAAATTAAGTATCTCATGTCTGTATTGAGAAGTGAAAGGAATCGAAGTTTTTTTGGTGAACCACCACAACAGATATCTTCCCAGTTCTCGTCAGTTGTCGAACAACATGTTGTGCCTGATGCTTTAGGTCAACAAAATCAGGTTGCAAATGCTGTGAATAATGAAGGAATGGATGCAGCTGTTCCTTTAGTGCCTAATAATGCATCACAAAATTCAGCTGAAAATAATTCTAATGTTATAGTCAGTAGTGGTAGTAGTTCGAGGCCAGTTGATCAAAAAGTGTCTGGTTCCAATTCATCAGAATATTCTAATCATAATCCTGCATGCTCAACAGTTAATTTGGCTTCATCTTTAAATATGGCACAAGATGAAAACTCACTCAATATGTTGACATCTTGTATTGAAGCACTGAATCGTTCGTTCCATCGTATGAGACGTCGTGAAGTCACTAGTCCATCTCTACCTACAGAACAAGTGAATGAATTTATTAGATTTGAATTGAATCTATTTGTTTCACGTAGAGAATATGAAAATGGTCGATGCTTATTAATGCGTAATTTACGTTCTATACCGAGTTTATGTCAGCTGGTTTCAGCATCTTCAATATTAACACCAGATACTGCTGTTAATCCAATCAGTACAACACCATGAAATCTCGAGAGAAAAAACAGAAAAATTCTTATGAAATCTTTCCCATTGATGTTTGTTTATTATTTGGGAACAATAAAACATTTTATTATTCAGTTCTTCGATATTTTTTGTTCTGTATAGCACCTGTACTTATAATCAGTTGTATTTTTTAAATCTTCTGTGTAATATGGAATAAAGCCTACATTGCTTACTTTTTAATCTCAATATTGGCAAAGAGCAGTCGATATTTATGTGAAAATAAATTCAGTCGATCTTTGAAGATATTTATCGTTTGTATTGTTTTCTAAGTAGTTCACAAATTTTCATGAGATCTAATTAATTATGATTATTTTAATATTTTGAAATTGGTTTATTGTAAACTGCACAAAATATATGACTTTATCTCACATTACGTTTTGGAATATACCTGTTTTCAAGTTGAGACTTTTAACTGTTCAGAACAGTTTGATATAGTTATTGAAGCAAGCAAGCTTTTTAATTTAATTGCTTAATTTAACAAGATTTAAGTGATTAGATAAATAGGTGAAACCTCATAATATATACCGATAGTTTTACTCATACCTATTGGGGTAATCATTTAAGTGATGCTGTTTATGTTGGTCAAGTTAAAATACTGCACATATGCATGAAGGGAAAAGTGTATTATAGGGACAAGTTAATTGGAGTTGAGAAAGCTACTTTCCAATTTTTGCACGAAATTAAAAAATGAATGATTTTAATTATATTGAAGGTGCGATAGAAATGTCTTTGTGTTGAGAGCGCTCATAATTGTCAGGGAAATTTTCCTATCACAAAGTATGAAAGATAATGTTAAACGTATCAAGTAGTTGCTTTCATATATATAGAATTTACATTTCTAATGAATCAATCAGTTTTCATTTCAATTTATTTTGTTCATTGTAAACTTGCGATAAATTCATTTTGTTAATTGTTCACTGCATATAAACTGGCTGATGGTGTTGGAATATTAAGATAATCAACGATTTTTACACATGAATTCCTCATATCGACAAGGTAAAAACAATGATTCTCCTATAATTTCATCCTAATAACTCTTTCATCAGTTTATTAATAAAGATTTTGTAGGCGGTGATAAATTTTCTAGAAAACTACTTATAGATATGAAAACGATTTTTTAAAAAATCACTGGAATGAATAAATTTGCCCTCAGATTAATGGTGTTGTGTGGTGACTTACAAAATTAGGATAGGAGAACTGATAACAGTTCTCTCAAAGTCAATAAACTTCTCGAAACCTCTAAACAGGTTTCATTAATTTCATTGCGAAATACTTTTGATTTATAGAGACTCACTAGCTGATTAGTAGGTTCGAACTCATGCGATTTAAGAATCGCTCAATCTCTTTCCAATATTATACTCTTACTATTAAGACGTCTTGGTTTAGATTGTTATTATTCGGCATTTATGACTCGAATTCGACTAGTAATTCAAATGACTAACTATAAATATCCGACTGTGAAGCAAAAATCCTTTATTCTTCAAAACGGTTTGATTTGTTCCATTCAGTTATGGTTCCCCACTTATTTTACCTTCAGTTACTCACTATCTCCAGGGTACCTGAATGGTGAATTGGCTTAAGCTTTCCAAATTTTAGTGAGGTTAAAAACACTACAAGCAATCTAAACCAAATGAGTATGGCAGGGTCTGATGGACTAACCTCTGAGGTTTTTAAGGATGATGGTCTAGATTTAGCTAAAATCTGAGAGCTGAAAGTAATCCGATCCTATTGGTTTCGGTCGCTGATCGTCCCAGTCTATAAAAAAGAACAGAAATCCTCTTGTGACAGTCACAAAGGAATCCGTCTCATTAGCATAATTTCTAAAGTATTGGCCTCGATAATGCTTCGACATCTAACTGGAGCCCATGAAGGGAAAACCCGAGGAGACTAGTCAGTTTTCAGAACTGGGCGTAAATGTATAGAGCAAATATTAACCCGTCGGCAGGATCTAGAACATAGACATACTTTTCGACGTCCGACTATAGTTTCATTCCTTGACTTTACGGTGGTATTCAACTCTGTTGACCGTGAGGGTCTGTGGCCGTGTCTGTCGTTGAAAGGAGTATCAATGAAGTGCACTAACCTTGTACAGGGTCTCCATTCGAACACTACTGGTAGAGTGAGTGAGAGCTTATGGGGGACCTGCCATCGAAATCGGTTACTTCAAGTGGTGTTCTGTAAGGTTGTCCGCCTTCCCTACTTTCATTTAACTTAGTTATAGACATGCTTTTAGAAACAATGCTTCCATCGCCTAACTTTTCAGAGGTTGTTCTTCAATCAGAAAATGCACTTGTGGATTTGTAATACACAAATGATATAGTTCTGTTGAATACTTAGTTAGATTTGAGTAGTGAAAAATGATGAGTCTCTTGTGGGTAAGAAATAATATCTGAATGATGAAATATTTCAAAGCTTCGAAAGCCAAGCAGTACTACTTATCAGAATCATTGAAGTTTTGAACTTGTTCTCTGTATCCGCGCATGACACTGTACACAATCGAGGTTCACACCTTCAGAGAGCATGGGGATCAATACACCTTTGGACCACTGATTCGAAATCCAACAGTTCAAATTTTCAATTTCAGTTCATTTTTAAGATAATCCAATCCTCATTCCGAGTTATTGATAAGTTGCAGTTTCATTTCTGACATTTTCGTCTTCATACATTACAGGTTCTCACTAAAATTTTCAGAGAACCACTTCACAGATACTCACTATCGAATACCTAATGGTAATTAAGTTAGGCATTTTCGCTAAAATGTGACCATACTTACTAAATAGAAAATTATTGTAGTCGAATATTCCAAGCCCAACTTACCTACTTATAAGTAGTCTAAAATGTTAATGAAGTTTTATTTGTTACGGTTAGTTTTATGAAAATAATAAGATGACATGTATAATGATTTCTCTAACTTCAATTGACTATTCGAAGTATACTTTTGGAAAATGCATTTCATCACTCAAAAATGTAGGCTCTTCATGTCCGTGTTTATTAAAAGAAGTCAGTGTTTTAACTCGTTTCCTCACACGTATTAATAAGATCCCCATAGTATTTTCTGTTTAATACTTTAAAATCTATAAAAAATATTTGTTAGACAAGGCGTAAAATATGTTAACACGATGAAATACAATTCATTTTACTGAACATTTTAACTATCAAGTTATATAATTATAGAAACACCCCACCCACTTCCATAAAATGAACGGAGTACTGAAAATAAACCAAACGAAAGGGATGAACACGTAGGCGATAGTTAAATAAGTATAAATGAGTAAACAATCGAAGATTAAAACGAAGGTTAAAAATTAACTGTATCTCTATTACTATAGTTCATTTCTAGTCATACCATTTAGTACTTTAATTATCGACTTTTATTTGAGGATTATGAGGTACCTATCCTTATCCATAAGTATATTATTATTATTATTACTATTATTACTATTATTATTATTATTATTATTATTATTATTATTATTATTATTAGCTTTATTCAACATTATATTTTTGGTACAACATAGAATTCTCAGCATAAAGTATTTCAACAAGTTTCCTTTTCTTATACCTTGATCTATTGTGACAATAAATTTTGAATGATGACCGGTTAGATGTTAGGAGTTCGGTAATCCACATTTGATTAATGTTCATTCGTTTCAATGCATATTGCCAGCCACCATGAGGTCGCTGATTGTACCTTTTTGTATCACGTATAGCGAAAGGTTGTAGACTTTTCATAAACGCGTCTAAATAAATTGTGCGCACAATAGACATAATGATGTGCTAAAACAAACAACAAAACAGATAACTTGATGAAATATCTAAATCGGAGGAACAGGTAGCCCAGATATTCAAGCAGGCCGCCGTACTGCACTTGTGATGTTAATAATCGTTAATTTATCTTTGTGTCAGTAACTGGACTTTGTTATATAGTGAACAAAACTTGAGCTTGATAGTCGGTTGTTAGTTAAGTTGGTTAATGAGATAAGTACAAAGAATTACAACCGCGAATAAGCGTATTTGAAAGGATTTCTTATCATTCCTATTGATGCTAAACTATTTTGTGAATATGTGAATCATTTTATTAAGTAGTGAACAATTTTTTAATTAATTTCTCTATCTGTACCAATTTTAGAAAAAATGAGAGGTTTTTATCACAATAATTTGGTTTTTGTGCGTAATCATCGTTCAGACATAATTCGTATAGCACTTTATTGATTAAGTTCCATTCTTCTGCTATTTCATGAGTATTGTTACATTAAAGTAGAGGATGTTTAAATTACGAGTTTGAAATATTTAGAAGTGGAAGAAGGGAAATTCAGATAGTTATTTACTAGTTAGTCACATTTTAAGTAAGCTAACTCTGTAAACTCAGTTTTGTTTATGTTTTCAAATGCATCAGTTTGATTCACATATTTATAGGGTAAAGTCATTTAGTTGAAGTTAGACATTAACACCGTTGGATGCCGGCTCAGTAGTCTAATGGTTAAGCGCTCGCACACGAGACTGATACGTCCTGGGTCCGAATCTCGCGAGTTGGGATCGTGGATGCGCACTGCTGAGGAGTCTCACAGTAGGACGTCCAGTGCTTACAGGTTTCCCATGATGGTCTAGCTTGAATTTACTCATGATCTCAAGTATTAAACTTAAGGTCATTTTATTGGTTTAAAAAAGTTTTAACTCATGTGAATAATTCTTTTTTCTTCATAGTTGTGAATCTTCTTTTCGTGTGGAGAAGTTTTTAATTGGTAACTTTTATTTTAGAAAATGTATTCACAAGTCTCAATTTCCTCAATGTACTGGACATGTATTATACCGAAGAATATGAGCTAAGCAAAAGGTGTATATTAGTTGATAGAAACCCTTTAAAACTATGTAATTTAGTTTAGATGATATCTCGAAAGCATCGACTAATGTTAAGAATTGTTATACTATATCGTCCACTTATTATTTGAGTAGTTCATAGCACAGAATCTTTTGAATAACAA